GAATGTATTCACCGATGGTTCCTTCGATAAAGAGTCGCTCTCAGCAGGGTACGGCGTTTACTTCCAGTCCCACAAAGGGACGGATGTTAGTCAGAATATGCTTGTATAGCGCACAAGAGTATATCCTTCCGCCCGCATTGGATGGCGGACGCTCACAACCATGTTGCGATCAATGACAAGGTCGATGTGAAGGCTATGGTCTCTCCAGCGATGGTGACGGAGTTGCGATCGATCCGCTAGGTGTCGGATTGTAAACCTCGGCGCAATTCGTTTGGATCGAAGACGCAATTTGCCAAACTATATGTCGGTTTGGGCATCTTAGATCAATGTCTGAACGAGGCTGTGAGGAAAACGAGGCACGATCTGCCAGCGATTGATGCTCCATTTGCCCTTGGCACGCCACCAGCAGGCTCGCATCCGGTTCTTTCAAATGGCATCCTGGGCATCCTCCACGTCAAGCGCCTGTACAAAATGCCCTCTGCGGGCACAAGCTGCGATGGCCGGCGGACCACGCTTCGATCCGGCAGGCTGTCAGAGTCTCTGGGCCTGGTGGAGGAAGCTGTAGGGCTAAGAGGGCATTCCAAGAGAACATCTCCTGCTCCGGGAGGCTCGTCAACCTCGCTGTGTCGTGCAAACGGAGGGTGTTTGCTCACACCAGATCCGCCTGTGCATGCCGTCAAACACGTCCTTTGGGCATGCCATAAAAAAGGTGGTGGATCAAGTCTTATAGTCGGCAGCAGGGGAGACTTGGCAGCTCAAAACATGTTCACTGATAATTCACTGCTGCCGACTATGACGCATGTACATGGCCGCCACTGATAGTGTCCATGATGCTGGAGAACGACCAAAGATGTCTCAGCTATGGTTTTCTCAAGCAGCGTTAACAACGTTTCTCATGGTCTATTCCAGCCACAGCAGCAAGGGGATCTCAACTCTAGACTTTCGAGGACTTGCAGGAGAGGAGTCGGGGGACAGGGAGGAGCTCTAGAGGCCGGTCAGCCACTACTGTATGGATCGCAAGGCTTTCCAGGAGCAGCGGCAGCAGCGGTTCTTCCTTTCGAAAACATAAGTGGAAGTTTTGTTCCGGGAAGCGGCCAGGATCCAAGGTTGTTTCAAGAGCAGCTGAGACGACTGTATGGGCTGCTGGAGATGAATCCCAGGAACTTCGCCGACGGCATGAAAAGGGAGGATTTCTAGGCCAAGGCTCGAATCGGTCTGAATCTGGGTGTGAGGACGTACTTGGAAGACACGCTAGCGAGGCGGTGAAAAGGCCCCGAGCAAATTCCCCTGCACCACTGTGTCAGGCAGAAGGATGCAAGGCCGATTTGAGTGGAGCAAAGTGTGAATTGCATTCCAACCGAGGCCTCCTCCTCAAGTCGAGTATGCAGCAAACAGCGTGTTCCACGCCACAAGGTTCCGATCACGCTGCTCACGGGCGTCTCGCGCGGGAGAGGAAGGAACATTAACATTGGCCGTGTATGGGTTAAGTACAAGGTTTGTCTCCCACGAAAGAATGGGAGTGACAAGCTTGCGATTCCTCGTGTTATCTTTGCGAGCCGTTTAGAGTCAAGCAAAGGCTTTGGAATTTTAGGGTTCTTCGACAAAGATTCTTTTGGTGTTCGACGGATGGATGCATTTCCTTCGCCCCGCGCTCCACAGGTACTGCCACAGATTGGGACAATGCCGGGCTCACGGCACAGACTGCTCAGCGGAGCTCCTTTCGGGGTTGAAATCCTGCGGGAGCTCCAAGGACTTAGAGAAGGGAAGGGTGCTCCACGATCGCGCCATCCAGAGCGGGGTTTGCTCCAATCTCTACGTTTCTTGCAGCTTGATCGGCATGTATGGGAGGTGTGGCAGCCTGGTTGAGGCGAGGAGGGTGTTTGACAGGATGCCTTGCCACAATGTAGTGGCCTGGAACGCTTTCATCTTGGGCCACGCTGAGAATGGCGAAGAATCTCGTGCTCTGGAAGCCTTCTCATGGATGGAAAGCCAGGGTTGCGCACCGGATGCCGGGACATTCTTTGCAGCGATCAAGGCTTGCTCGGCTCGAGCGGTCAGAGAAGAAGCGAGACTCATCGGTGGGAAGATGATCAAGCTGGAAGCTCTGGAACAAGGCATGAGAATCCACTCCCGAGCTAAGAGCAGCGGCAAAGATGATCACGTAGCGAGCTCGCTGGTGGAAATGTACGCATGCTGTGGAAGAATGGTGGAAGCACGCATGGTTTTCGATACAAGCTCCCGGCACAGTGTCATCTCGTGGACTGTTCTAGTGCTTGGGTACGTAGCAAACGGGGAGAGTGAGCTAGCGCTCGAGGTTTTTGGCAGTATGGGAGCTGGAGAGATCAAGCCGGATGGTCGATGCTTTGGCGCAGCAGTGAAAGCTTGCTCCGGTTTGGCTGGGAGAGAAAAGTGGGGAGAAGATTTGGATGGAACGGCTGTGAAAGTTGGCGCTCTGAGAAAAGGGAGAGAGATCCATCGCCAAGCGAGACGAGCGCTGGATGTTTTCGTTGGAAATGCTCTGGTGGATATGTTTGCGACGTGTGGGAGCATGGTTGATGCCCGAGGAGTTTTCGACAAGATGCCTTGCCACAGTGTGGTCTCGTGGAACACGCTACTGGTGGGATACGTCGAGAATGGAGAAGCAGAGCGAGCGCTGGAAAGCTTTGCGTCTGCTACTACAGCGGATTCCTTGACGTTTGTCGCTGGTTTGAAGGCCTGCATTGGATTAGCAGCGAAAGAAGAAGCCACAAGCTTTGAAGGGAAGATGGTGAAAGTGGATTCTCTGGATAAGGGGATGGCGATTCACATCCAGGCCGCGGAGAAAGGATTCGAGAGGGACGAGTTTTTGTCGAACACTCTCGTGGACATGTATGCCAAGTGTGGAAGCATGGTGGAGGCCGAGAGAGTTTTCAGGAGCATGCCTTGCCACGGCCTGGTGTCGTGGACAGCGCTCATGCTGGGATACGTGGATAACTCGCAAGCAGGGGTAGCTTTGGATTTGTTTTCTCAGATGAAAAACAGTGGCCTCGTTCCAGATGCTATGGCTTTAGTTGCTGTGTCGAAGGCCTGTCTCGGCTTGGCGGCCAAGGAAGGGGCCGTGGTGGTTGATGGAAAGCTGGTCAAGCTCAAATGCTTGGAGAGAACAATGGCTCTTCATGGAGACTCGAGAAACTACTTTAAGACGGACGTGATCTTGGCGAGCACTTTAGTCGACGCTTACGCGCGAAATGGAAGCCTGCTGGATGCTCGAAGAGTTTTCGACCAGATGTGCTCGCACGACGGCATGTCGTGGACTTCGCTGGTTCTGGCCTGTGTTGATTGCGGAGAGGAAGACACGGCACTAGAGCTGTTCCAACACATGATATCCGAGGGGTATGCGCTCACGTCTTCGAGCATTGTCACAGCAGCACTCAAGGCTTGCATCCGCGTCGCTGCAAGGGAAGAGGCCATTCAGGTGGATGGAAAGGCTGTCAAAGTTTCGTCACTGCAGAAAGGGATTGCTATCCATTGCCAGGCTTCCGAACTCCTTCGACACTGGGACTTCGTTTTGGCCAGCAGTTTGATGGAGATGTACGCCAAGTGTGGGAGTCTGGTGGACGCCCAGCGAGTTTTCGACAGCATGCCACACCGTGATGTAGTCTCGTGGACAGTGCTCATGTCGGGGTACGCGGACTGTGGTGATGGAGACAAAGTTTTGGAGCTCTTTGCGGGAATGAAACTGAAACTCGGTCAGCCCTGCTGTGCTCTAGATGCTCGAGTCTTCGTCCCCGTGCTCAAGGGAAGCTCTTCTGTGGGATCGCTGGAAGTCACCAAAGCCATCGTTGGGGAAGTATACAGATATGGAGCCGAGAAAGACATTGTGCTCTCCAACAGCATGGTGGACGTGTTTGGAAAAGCCGGAAGTATGAACGACGCACAACAGGCGTTTGACGCAGCTCAAACTCGAGATTTGATAGCATGGAACGCTCTCGCAGCTGGATACGGCCGCCAGGGCGACGCTGAGAAGGTCTTGGATGTCTTTCATCGGGCTGTGGACGACGAAGGCGTTGAGCCGGACAGTGTGACGCTGCTGTGCGTCCTCGCTGCGTGCAGCCACGCCGGGATGGTGACTAGAGGCAGGAAGTACTTCGATGCAATGCTCTCTAAGTATGGAGTGAGTCCGAGGTGTGAGCACCGGGTGTGCGTGGTAGACATGCTCGGTCGGGCCAACCAACTTGGCGAGGCGCTGGTAATGGTGACTAGCATGGGCTCGGAAGCGAGAGCGCTCACTTGGAGGACACTCCTGGCTGCTTGCCGGACGTGGAGAGATGTAGAGACTGGAAAGGTGGCGTTCGAATCTCTCGTGAATATTGACGACAGAGACACGGCAGCATACTCTCTCATGTCCAACCTGCTTGGGAGCGTCGGATTGTGGCAGGAGCAGTCACGGATCCTGCGAAGTCAAGAGGAACTCTTCGCCCAGCAGCAGGCAGTGGCATCCTACATCGACTGCGGAGAATTGGTGAAAGAACGAGGACGATGCCCGTGCTTGTCTTGCCGAGAAAACAAGCGCCGCTCCGACACCATCGCGCGAGCGGGCAATTGAAGGGACGCGAGCAAGCACTTCCACTGGCAAGAGACACCATCCAGAACCTCCTCAACCTTGTCCTTGGCATGACAGCGTTCCGTCAACGAGATTCCGCTGCCCCTTTCGCGATTGATGGACCAAGAGCGTGGAGGAATCTGGTCTCCAGTGCCATCCTCCTCGGCTCGGCAGCAGTGGCAGTGATGGTTTTTCGTTTTTTATCCTTAATATCCTCACTAGTTTATCCTCCACAGCGAATTTTGGAGCCTGATTATTGGAGGATCTGTTACACAATTAACAAGAATTTTACCAACAGGCGATGGAACAGTCGGCTTATTTGATATCCAGAGCCACGGTGCCTCTTGCCTCTGTTGTGAGGTATATTGCAGCCAAAACCAAGGTCATATGACTTGTTTCCCAGGTTGCTTCCGTTTCTTACAGTTCTTGTGGAAGATATCTCCAGGCAAACAGAGCAGTCGTTTGGGACACGGGGTTAATGCCAATGGAGATCTGTGACCCCTGAGTTAGCTCTCCGCTTGCGGTGGCTCGCGGTCTACGAAGGCGTTACACTGTTTGAGTCATGGAAAACCAATGCCTGCGGCAGGAAACACATGCCAGCGCGCTGGGTAAGAGGTTTTCTTCTCACTTGGTGTGTAGTGAGTGACCTCCAGCTCTTCTCTTTCGTGTGTGTAGCTTTGTGGATGGTGGAGACCAAGGAGGAAATTATTCTCTCTGGTTTAACAGCTTGCCCTGGTCCTGGTTACTGCAAGTGGAGAAATGGTAGCGTGGCTCTTTTGGGATGTTACACTTGGAGAACCATGCCCCCGGCATTTGCAAAGCCATTCCAGATGTATCAATCAATACGGTTGAGTCTTATCATCGTCCACGATCTGTCTTCTTTTGCTTACATGTCACCTTCCGCTTCGCAGGTTTCAGTATCTTCTGATGGATGCTCAAAAGCTGGTACTTTCACCTATTCAATTTTTGTTTCTTTGTTTGGATTCTTGCTCTCTAATCATCCCATCGACACTGGCGGTTAACACACCCGATTCCAGACCAGCAAGCGGTAGAACGAAGCTCGATTTATAACCTTCTTGTGTTCAACTGTGTTTCGTGTAGCTTCTTCGTGTTGAAAAGTTGCGAAACAGGTACTGAAAAGATCAATTTTTCTGTTCTGTTTATTGTAGAATGCTTGGAACTCAGAGATCCAAGCGCGGTTGGATATGGGAGAGCTGCGCCGTGGGGATCGTAAGAGAAATGGCGAGAGAGGGTTATAGAAATCCTGACAAGCTCTTGTTTTCTATACTGTGAGATCTCGGAGCTCTTGTGCTATGCCACCGCGGTTGGAAGTAATGTGGAGCTGCTAGTGATGCTCCCCTCGTTGCAAGCAACTAACTTTCTCCTCTCGGCTGGTAAGGGTGCTGATCAAATTGGTTACCTTTTGCAAACAAGCTCGACGAAGACGAAGACGTGATCTTGAAGCGAAACAAGAACGTCGAGCAGAGCTCAGAATAAAACCTGGAACCTTCCTGGTAAATAAAATCTCTTTGAAGCTTGTTAATAATCATCTGCAATGATGGCATAAGCACTTAATCACAACACTCTAGGCCTTTTAGACATCTTTCAAAACATTCATTTCAATGACCCCTTCTCCTTGGTCTATGGCCCTAAGGCAAAACTTCCAATGGAGCTCTAGGTATCATCACTTATGTTGTCTTTGCAATGATGAGTAGTATCGGGCCTCAGCCAAAAAACTTTTTGTTGCAAAAAACAAGCTTAAGGTGGCTATCAACTCTAAAGTTCCAAATTCAATCCTTTTTTTTCTAGACAATTTGTTTTTCTCAAAGAGTTCATTCCCTCCAAGTTTTTTCCACAATGGCTCAATCCCTACTACATCCAACACCATGTGGAGGGTGGTTCCTATGTGTTCACAAATGAGATTGGCCATAAGCTCTTACATACTCATAGTCATCTCCATCTCAAAGAATTTGTGAAGTAATGTCTTTCCTTTTTCTTCCTTTTTTCTCCATTTTCTTTCAACTTCCCCCTTATGCTTTGCTACTCTATGTATTTTAGTTGCAAGGTTACATCAACTTGCTAACAAAAATAATTCCAAAAGGATGTCACCAGCTTGCATGCCAAAAATATCTAAGAAAGCGTCAGTTTTAGTGTAGGAAACACTATCTCTCTTTTAAAACAAAACTTGCTATTTTTTTGGTTGGCAGAAGACTTTAAAATTCCTGTATTGTTAAGTTTCTCTGCATTCACTCATGTTATTTAGGCATATTCTAGTTCCGATGTTAAGTGAAAGTCAGTGATACCACGTTCACATTAAAGTAACTTATTTTAATTTATAGAACACTCTTGTGCAACATGTGTATTCATAATAAAGGATATATAAAACCCAGTACTACAAGCTACCATAGGAACACAATGGAAATTCTTCCGCTCCACTTAGGTGTGAAAAATCTGGTGGATTCGGGCCTTCACAAGGTGCCCGACATCTACATCCAGTCTAAAGAGGGGCGCCCAAATGCCGTTCATCGTGAAGAAAGTTTCCCAGTCTTGGATCTTGGCACCGCCTTGAATTCGAGCAAGGCTCGAGCAGCTCTTGTCTCACAAATCCGGGAAGCTTGTGTGAATTGGGGCTTCTTCCAGGTAAGAAAATTCTAATTTTTCTTGCTTATCACTTGGTCTATGTATATTGTCTCCATTTTCTTATTAATAGGTGATCAATCACGGCGTTCCCCATTCTTTGGTGGATGAAATGCTATCGGTGGCTCGCGAATTCCACGCTCTCCCAAACGAGGAGAAAATGCGCTACTTCTCCACAGACACCGAATCCCGAATGAGGTATGGAACCAGCTTCAATGTCACACAAGACAAGGTCTTTAGCTGGAGAGATTACCTCCGCCATAGCTGCCTCCCACTGGCCGAGATGCAAGATCTCTGGCCTGAAAAGCCAGCATCTTACAGGTATAAATACCTTCTCGCGGTCCTTTCTTAACATCGCTGGTATATGATCATCTTATAGGAAAGTTACTGCCGATTACTCCACTCGCGTTCGCAACCTTGCAAAGTTCCTCCTGGAGCTCATCTCCGAGAGCTTGGATCTTCCAAAGGATTACATCGACAAGGCATTCAATGGCTGCTCGCAAGTCATGGCTCTCAACTTCTATCCTGCTTGCCCCGAGCCCGATCTGGTGCTGGGAATCGGCCCACACTCGGACCCCGGATCGATCACGCTGCTGCTCCAAGATCACGTCGAGGGTCTCCAGGTGATGCACGGTAACGAGTGGTACTCCGTGAAGCCCATACCTTACTCGTTCGTGGTCAACCTGGGCGACCAGATCCAGGTCAGCGTTGACTCTTTCGTCGACTATAAGTTGACTGGCTGGTCAAATGCTTTTTCTTGCAGATTTTGAGCAATGACAAGTATAAGAGTCCCGAGCACAGGGCTGTGGTTAACAGCAGTGAAGATCGAATGTCCATTCCAGTAGCAATGGGGCCAAGCTGGGAGAGTTTAGTGCTCCCAGCTAGCGAATTGGTGGAGGGTTCTCCGGTGTTTAAGCCTATGGTTTATAGGGATTATATGACGGCTATGCAAGCTGGTGGACTTCATCGCCAGTGGGTCTTGGACACTCTTAGAATTTAGCTATGATGCTATATCGTAAAAACTGGAAAGTTACTAAGAATTTAAACTTATTGCGCGCGAGTAATGCACGGCTTGAATCCGGCCCAAGTGGACGGCCGAGATTTTCCTGTATGGCGTGCTACTAAGTAGGGTTTTTCGGCATGGAGTACGAGCCGCTCGGCGTCCTCGGCGAGATCAAGGAGAAGGGCTTCTCCGCCGCCGGGGATTCCTCCCCGCAGCTGCCAGCGATCACTGCATTGCCATTTCCAGTCGCGCGGCATCGATCTCACGGCCCGGTAAGTGCTGCGATTGTCTTTCCCCTGGCTGGGATTTTGATCGATTTGCTGGAGACAGCATTGGGGCGTTTTCTCTCCTCGTTCCGATGAGATTGTGGATTTGGATGAGCCCGACGGGCCTCTGGAAGGTGGGAGAGATGCTGCTCGGCCATTGCAAAGGAAATCCAGGGATGATTCGAGATGGAAGGAGGTAGCTGCCGCTGCCGCTGCCGCCGCGCAAGGAAAGGATGCAGTGCCGTCGCAAGCCCAGGAGATCGATGCTGAGAATCGAGCTAGAATTTCTTCGATGAGCTCGCAAGAAATCTCCGACGCTCACAGGGAATTGCTCGAGCGTCTGGGTCCAGAAAAAATAAAGATGCTACAAAGGCGAGGCATGGAAAAGGAGAAGCAACGTTTTGGAGAGAAAAATCCCATCTCTCCAGAAGATGGCGATAAAAGCGCGAAAACTAGTACTTCGACTGCCACTCCAAAAGACGCGAAGATGCAAATTCCTGTTCGAGCAAACGAGCAAGAAAAGAGTGTAAAAGTGGTGGCCGGAGTCATGACGAGCGCCTGGACCGAGAGGGTCGAAGCTATCAAGTCGATGCGATTTAGCTTAGATGGAGAAGTGATAAGCAGCAGCAACACAGACATGCAAGACGATTCCGGTAAGTTTCTTTATCTTTTTTTTTTTTTCCTTTTTACTGCTCTCTTGGTCTTTGAGCTGACAATACTGCATATAAGATCTTTCTAGTGTTGCGCAGCGGGATTACCTCCGGGCCGAAGGCGATCCTTCTGCACTGGGTTACACCATCAAGGAGGCAGCACTACTTTCACGAAGCACGGTAGTGTTTGTCTCAACTGAACCACAAAGTTGAAGGCTCTAACTTTGCGAATTTTTTCCAAGGTTCCCGCTCATAGAGCTGCTGGTGTCCAGCTACTTGGCACAATTTTCTCAAATGCTGCCAGTGGCCTTCAAGACGGAAGAAATGACTACGATTGGCAAGCTGTCTGGGCCTATTGTCTTGGTCCACAGCCAGAACTCACGTTAACATTGAGGTAGGCGACGAACTACCCTCAGTTCTTTCCTTTCTTTATTGACATTCCCGGCTTGCAGGCTTGCGTTGGATGATACAAATCTGACTTCCGTGGTGTCGTGTGCCAAGGCTCTACAGGCTATGCTGAGCAGCTCTCAAAATGATGACTTTTTTAACCTCTGCGAGGTAAGGAGTTGCTGTTCTCCTTTGTGAAAACAGTTTATGATGCACACGTTTGGTTGCAGAGATCATGGCCGGGCGGGCCATTGTGGTGGACTGCTCCAGTGTTTCGCAAGCGCAGCAATCATGAAGAAGACGGCTACTTGGGAGGTGGCTACTGGAAATACAACGTCAAGTCCTCCGAGCTTCTTCTTTCGCAAGTGAACAACAATGACAATGACAACAGTGATACCACTGTGGCGGACGACGCAACTGTTGCTACGAAAGATGTAGCTGCTGGTTTTATCAGGATGGGTGTTCTCCCCAGGATCCGATATATTCTAGAGGTTTGGTTTCCCGATTATGCGTGAATCTAATAACCTCCGACTTAACAGGTCGAAAAGCTTGATGCGGCCGTAAACGCGGCCCTGTTGTCTACTCTTGTAGCCTTTGCGAGGCATTCTCCAGCTGCAGCGAAGGCCGTCATGGAATGTCCGAGGCTTATCAATTCCGTCATCCAACGATTTCTATTACCTGAAGAAGATGATGATACTCCTCTGGTTCCTCTCGTTCGAGCTAAAGCTATACAACTCTTAAAGGCATGTACCATAATGCTGCGTTTAGGTCTCAGGGCTTACCCTTTCGTTTTTTGCAGGTCTTGTCGCAGGCTTCCAAGTCTTACTGTGTCCACTTTGCAGAGCTGGGAGCGCTGCAAACTGCCACGTCCGAGTTGTTCGAATGGAGCTATCGTCTTACGATGTTTCCAAGAGCTGCTGCTGCCGACCTTTCCAAGGATTCTGCTATTCTGCAAGAAGCACTCCGGCTCTGGAAAATTTGCATCTTCCATGGCATTGGGATCAGCCTTTTCGCAGACTTCCATCCAGCCCTGTCTGCTTGGCTCTCGTCGGCATCATCAGGGGATCCCGCTATATACAACTTAGCACAAGAATCTTACAGCGTTCTAGAGGTTCTCGCTAGAACACTTCCC